GAAAATGCATTCGATGCGGTTATGCATTTTGCTGCAGTAGCTTATGTTGGGGAGAGTACACTTGATCCTCTCAAGTGAGTACCTTTAAACTATTTTTAGGTCTTTGATTTTAAGCTTAGTTCAATATTGAAAATTTTCATTCTATACATGCTAATAAGCGCGTGCTTTATTTATTTATTTATTTTATTTTGTTTTTATTTATTTATTTATTATTATTATTATTTTTTTTTACCATAGATATTATCACAATATCACTTCAAACACTCTTGTCGTGCTGGAAGCTATGGCAGCACATGGGGTGAAAACTTTAATTTATTCAAGCACGTGCGCAACTTACGGTGAACCAGAAAAGATGCCCATTACAGAAGAAACTCCACAGGTAAGAGTTTATTAGTTTGCTATAAGTTACATTTACAGTGTAGTAATTGTTAATATGCTCAAAAAAATACATTTACAACATAAGTGCTGGTAAGTTGCGATTATTTCTTATGATGGATTTTGCCTTCTACGCTGCAGCTTCCCATAAATCCGTACGGAAAGGCTAAGAAAATGGCAGAGGATATAATTCTTGATTTTCACAAAAATTCTGATATGGCTGTCATGATTTTAAGGTACGCATTAGTCTTTTACATTCATCTAGATTAGAAATATCAAAGTGATTAAAAATAAAAAGGTACGATTTTTTTTTTTCTTGATTCTAACTTGTATCTGTAAATCAGATACTTCAATGTGATTGGTTCTGATCCAGAGGGAAGGCTCGGTGAAGCCCCTCGACCCGAACTACGTGAACATGGACGAATATCAGGCGCTTGCTTTGATGCTGCTCGTGGGATTATCCCGGGCCTCAAGGTCTTTTGACTTCCTTACTCGACATATTTTTTCCATGCTGTAGACTTGTAATTAGCAAGCACGGTTCAAATCAAATGAGAGATTTATTTAGGCAAAATTGTATATAATGACACCACCTTTAATGCTTTTGCAATTTAATCATCACCGTTTACTATTTGCATTTAAATCACCACCTTTTCATGTGTTTGCTGATTGAATCATAAATTTAACTTCCGTTAGACTTTTGGTCTCCAAAGTCAGCTCCAATCTAACAAAAATTACATTTATGATATGATGTGCAAAAACATATGAATGATGGTGATTTAAACACAAATAGCAAAATGTGGTGATTAAATTGTAAAAGTCTTAAAAGGCTGTCTTTATATGCAATTTCGCCATTTATTTATGTATTTATTTATTTATTTATTTCGATAATGAAGGTTAGAGGAACGGATTACAAGACTAAAGATGGCACGTGCATACGAGATTACATCGACGTTACTGATCTGGTCGATGCTCACGTGAAAGCTCTGGAGAAAGCAAAACCAGGGAAAATTGGGATATATAACGTTGGTACAGGAAAAGGTAATAATATCTCAACCTTTTACACCATTTGATGAATTCTTGAATTAGAATTCGTCTAATTTGGGAAGAAAAAAAAGGTCTACCTTTCGCATTACGAACACAAACTTTCCTGAGTGTATACGTGTTTTTTTGTACTTTTTCACATATGCTTTGCTTCTCAAATGGTTACATATATATATTTATATGTATTATAGGAAGATCTGTGCAAGAGTTTGTGGAGGCCTGCTGATGGAGACGAAGC